ATCAAACCAGATGTTTTATTTTGAGAAATTCATTAATTACAGCCATTTTAATCAACATTCTTCAAATCTGTATTTGCATAGATTGATAGTGCATTATTTTACCTTACTTCAAGTACTGTGCAAACTTTTACTTTTTTTTTACATTTTGAGTATCCTAATGTAATCCATTTCACAGTCAGATGAATAACAATGAAAATAAAAAAATAACAATAATAATAATAATAATAACAATAACAATAATCATAATCATAATTAAGAAATAACAATAAACTAAAAAATAAACAAAAGAAAAATGGAGATACACATTTTCATAACATGGCCACAAAAGAAGCTACACGTTATATTGTTAACATTTATATCTTTTAGCAGGTGGTTGGCTATCTGTGGCTGGTAGACCTCTGCATTCCTTGGGATAATGTAGAAGCAATTCCTTGTAGAAAAGAGGATTTCCACGCTGGTGTGGTAGAATTCCCAGGGGAGTTACATCATCGTCATCTGGAGGAACATAATGAATTTACATTGGTATATCTGTACAACATACATGTGCAAGTGTATAAACATAGGCCATGGAACTTCCCACTCAGAAACAAAGGCCTAGTAAGAATCTTAGCCCTTATGAATATGTGAAATAGGTCCTATGTCACTAAACCACAAATAAATTTCCTCCAAGCTTCATTATACTCAAAATGTTAAAAGAAAATGAGGTAAGTTGCTAATCACCAATTTCTTGGATGTGAATAACTCATACATGCAAGATATCATTTGGTAGCCATACTGGTCTCTGAACATAAAAAATAATTTAATGCTAATAATAAATGAGATTATTATAATTAACATTATTATAAAAAAGACAGTGGAATATCAAGAGTGTTTGAATTTGAAAGCTATTTGGATATAGACCTTTATCTATGTAAGTGTGTGTATGTGTATGTGTATGTGTATGTATGTGTATGTATGTGTGTGTGTGTGTGTGTGTGTGTGTGTGTGTGTGTGTGTGTGTGTGTGTGTGCGTGTGCGTGTGCGTGTGCGTGTGCGTGTGCGTGTGCGTGTGCGTGTGCGTGTGCGTGTGCGTGTGCGTGCGTGCATGTGTGTGTGCTTCTGTCTGTGCATGTGTGAGTGTGCGTGCATAGGTTTTTGTATTGGTGTACCAGCAAATATTTGTAATTATGATTACTGGCTACTTCTAAGAAAGTAACTGACTAGTAATCAACTACCCTTTTTTATTCAGATATACTCTTTCTTAAAAACTTGCGGATGGGTGGGATGGACAGGCTGGCACTGAGGTAGAGAGATGACATCAAAACAGGGTGACGGTATGATAGAGAAATATCAGTGATGGTGTAGTATAGGAAGATGGTGTGGCAAGAAGACAGATGACTGTATGTTACAGAAATGGCATTGCAATGGGTGACAGCATGTTGAAAAATGACAGGATGATGCTGTCATAGAGGAATGGCAGTGGTGATGTCATGAAGAAATGACAGACTGAGTGCCAGTGTGATGGGGCAATGGCAGAATGATGGTGTGGTGCAAAGCCATATTTAGGACCGGGCAAAGTGGGCCACTAACCAGGGGCCTTCACATCTTGGCGGCATAAATAGGAAAGGAAGTTAGTGAAAGGAGGCTAGGAATCACAGGAGTGAAGAGGAGAGGAAGACAGACAGATAGATAGATAGATAAATAGAGAGGAAGGGGGATAGTGGAGGAGAGAGTAGAAAAGAGATGAGAGGAAGGGAGATAGAAGAGGAGAGAGGAGGGGTGAGGGAAAGAAGAGGGATGAGGAAGAAGAGGAGAGGAGATGAGGAGAGAGGAAAAAAAAAGTAGGGAGGGGAGGGGAGAGAGAGTGAGAGAAACAGAGAGAGAGAGAGAGAGAGAGAGAGAGAGAGAGAGAGAGAGAGAGAGAGAGAGAGAGAGAGAGAGAGAGAGAGAGAGAGAGAGAGAGAGAGATACAGACAGTCAGACAGAGATAAAGCATAGACAGAGACAGAATAAAGAGAAAAAGAAGAAGTAAAAATCTGAAAGAGAAAAACAGATACAGAGACAGATGTGCCTATATGAAAATAATCATATACACCAATAAAGCTTTACCTTCATTTTCGGAAGTTTTCAAAGACTTCTTTACAGCTTCGGCTATACTAAACGCAAAGGTCGAATGGTCCAGAGAAGACTTGAGAACATCATTGACACTGAACCATTCCTCAAGTGCTTCGGAGTTTATTTCCTCTTCATTCCTCTGCAATGCCTCTCGTAGCCTTGCACTATGCTCTTTGATGTCCTCCTTCTTCTGAGCTGCAACTGCTTTTCTTGACTTACTTTCCGCCTCATTCTTTGCAGCCTTTCTCTTCATCTTGTATGCCTTGATCAGGCTGATCACTTCATCTATTTGGTCCTGTGTAAAGTTGGACTTCGGACTTTCCATGATCCTGGAACAAAAAATTTTGGGTTTACATATATGAAAAGTATGTAAGGAAGTATGTAATGCTATCATAATCTTCATGTTATATTTTAAAATTTCTAACAACAGAAAATAAACAAATAAATAAACAAATAAACAATCACATCTATAGATAATGTTATGAACTCTTCTTAATACACATTTATGCATAAATGTATGCTGTATCTTCACATATGGGTAACTTAACCCATTGCCACCAGGGATGGCATGTACGTACATGCCATGCCCACTGTGAGTCGACTTGTTTGATTGTTTTTATACATAGATGGCTACACTTGTACTAAGTAACCAATGAGCCAATTACGAGTACTGCCTGTCTCGCCCGTTCACCCTTTTCATCGATATACGAAAATATTTAACGTTATCCTAATTTGCTGTCAAAAATAACACCATCTATATCTTTAGCACTAGTAAGAATACGTTTTTTCCCGCCAATTCAAAGAAAGGTGAGCTCAGGACTAGCAGAGCCATCTATGTAAAGAGATATTTCACAAAAATATAAAAAATGACTACAGAATTTCCCCCATTTTTTGTTCAATTTCCCCGGCAGCAATGGGTTAATTTCAAATAATCATGTAACTGTTAAAATTTGAGTGCACGAGTGAGTGAGTGAGTGAGAGAGAGAGTGAGTGAGTGAGTGAGAGAGAGAGAGAGAGAGAGAGAGAGAGAGAGAGAGAGAGAGAGAGAGAGAGAGAGAGAGAGGGAGGGGGGAGGTGAGGGAAAGAGAGTGGGGGGGAGGTGAGCAGGAGAGAGAGACAGAGAGGGAAAGGTGTTGTGTGTGTATGTGTGAGTATGTGTGAGTGAGTGAGTGAGTGAGTGAGTGAGTGAGTGAGTGAGTGAGTGTGTGTGTGTTGTGAGTGCACGTACTGTGTGTGCATGTGTGTGATGTGCATTTGAGTGTATGTATACATGTGTATGAATTTATACTTAGCTTAGAGATCACTTAACAAACCATAAAACCCTTGGCCTAACCTTAAGCCTAACTTGTAGCTCCATTCCCTTCCAATCAGGAAAAGCTGCTCTGCAAGCTTTTTCCACTGAGTAATATTGGAGTATGGAAAATGGAAATGGTGATATCTGTCCACCTCACAGTAATACCCAAGCTCTGATTCCACTAGCGTAGTGACCCAGTAATATGATATCTCCTGGAACTCTGAAAATAACATACATTTAAATACATTAGAGAAGGAAAGGGATTAAAACCAGTAAGACAAAATATATATATATCTAAACATGCCTTTTACATAAACAAGGGGTTCTACTTAGTCACAACTAAGCCTTATTCACATAAACATATAAAAGAGATGCTAAGGATGAAATCCTCCTAATAGAAAAAAAAATATATATATATCTAAACATGCCTTTTACATAAACAAGGGGTTCTACTTAGTCACAACTAAGCCTTATTCACATAAACATATAAACATAGTGTCTTGGCACTATCATCTCTCAACTCTGCATGATGCCCCTTCCCACAAGTAATGCAGTGGAGGTGAACATTCCTTGTGGGAAAGGGGGCAGCTGTGCAGACTGGAGAAACCTCACCACCTCACTCGCCCTATGCATAAAAAAGAGATGCTAAGGATGAAATCCTCCTAATAGAAAAAAAAATATATATATATCTAAACATGCCTTTTACATAAACAAGGGGTTCTACTTAGTCACAACTAAGCCTTATTCACATAAACATATAAACATAGTGTCTTGGCACTATCATCTCTCAACTCTGCATGATGCCCCTTCCCACAAGTAATGCAGTGGAGGTGAACATTCCTTGTGGGAAAGGGGGCAGCTGTGCAGACTGGAGAAACCTCACCACCTCACTCGCCCTATGCATAAAAAAGAGATGCTAAGGATGAAATCCTCCTAATAGAAAAAAAAATATATATATATCTAAACATGCCTTTTACATAAACAAGGGGTTCTACTTAGTCACAACTAAGCCTTATTCACATAAACATAGTGTCTTGGCACTATCATCTCTCAACTCTGCATGATGCCCCTTCCCACAAGTAATGCACTGGAGGTGAACATTCCTTGTGGGAAAGGGGGCAGCTGTGCAGACTGGAGAAACCTCACCACCTCACTCGCCCTATGCATAAAAAAGAGATGCTAAGGATGAAATCCTCCTAATAGAAAAAGAAATATATATATATCTAAACATGCCTTTTACATAAACAAGGGGTTCTACTTAGTCACAACTAAGCCTTATTCACATAAACATATAAACATAGTGTCTTGGCACTATCATCTCTCAACTCTGCATGATGCCCCTTCCCACAAGTAATGCAGTGATAAACATAGTGTCTTGGCACTATCATCTCTCAACTCTGCATGATGCCCCTTCCCACAAGTAATGCAGTGGAGGTGAACATTCCTTGTGGGAAAGGGGGCAGCTGTGCAGACTGGAGAAACCTCACCACCTCACTCGCCCTATGCATAAAAAAGAGATGCTAAGGATGAAATCCTCCTAATAGAAAAAAAAATATATATATATCAAATGCTTGTTTCAAAGACATATGAAGTAACTTACTGAGTGAATGAA